ATGTATTACTCATTATAACATAAGCCAAATAAATTAACTATGAAAAAAACAATATTTTCCATGGTTTCATGGTATTTTAAAAATAAAGGCTTTTGACTATAGTTCTACACAAAGTTATCCTACCAAATCACTAAATTGATACTCTAAAAAAATTCTTTAAATTGCAGAATGTGAAAAATGTTTCTACAGCTAAATGAAGGATCCCAAATAGGAACACTAGAAATACTGTTCAAAAAGGTTGCCCTGGCTCTTTTGAAATATTAGGTATATTGTCCTATTTGGATTCCAAGAAGAGACACAGTCTGGATAGCAATGGTAATGAAAAAGAGGTAGTACAACAGGAAGCTACTGTTATGTTTTTGGCACATGACAGTGATACCCTATATTTGTTTAACCTGGGGCTGCCAAGGCCCCCACTCCTGTTGCCCGCAGAGCTGTGGATGGAGGGAAAATTATGGTGGCTATCATTATTTCCTCTGAGCTCCAGAGTGTTGTGAGCAAAAATTCTACATCATGAGCAAAAAAGCTAGTAGCATTAAAGTTGTGAGCGAATCTACATTTGACTATTGCATCAAATAGTTTTTTAGATTATTTCCATAACCTTGCAAAAATCTCAGAATGAATTCTTTTAAAACTATATTCAAACTATACTTTAAGAATACACATTACAAGGGAAAACAGAATCAAGTCAAATTTCATTGCAGAAAATGTTGTCCTCTATGGGGGTAGACCAGGCCTCTGGAGAACAGGTTTACCTACTCCTTTCCACTATATTGGTAGACCTGGCCTCGGAAGAACAGGTCTGCCCACCTCTTTCCACTATATTGGTGGACCTGGCCTCTGGAGAAGAGGTCTGCCCACCCCTTTACATTATATTGATAGACCAGCCGTCCGGAGAACAGGTTTACCTACTCCTTTCCACTAGATTGGTTGACCTGGCCTCGGAAGAACAGGTCTGCCCTCCCCTTTCCACTATATTGGTGGACCTGGCCTCTGGAGAACAGGTTTACCTACTCCTTTCCACTATATTGGTAGACCTGGCCTCGGAAGAACAGGTCTGCTCTTCCCTTCCACTATATTGGTAGACCTGGCCTCCAGAGAACAGGCCTACTCTCCCCTTTCCACTATATTGGTGGACCTGGCCTCTGGAGGTCTGCCCACCCCTTTACACTATATTGATAGACCAGGCCTCTGGAAAATAGGTCTACCCACCCCAGTCCACTATATTGGTGGACCTGGCCTTGAAGTGTCACCCTGTGCTGAGCCTTAGAAAACATACTAGCACTTGGGAGGGGTCTTTTGCAGTCTACTTTGGTTTTTTTTTAGTGAAATATGACAAATATTTTTTGTTGTTGTTCAGTCGCACAGTCGAGTCCGACTCTTCGCGACCCCATGGACCAGGTCACGCCAGGCCCTCCTGTCTTCTGCTGTCCTCTGAAGTTCACTCAATTTCATGTTAGTTGCATCTATGACACTGTCTAACCATCTCATCCTTTGCCGTCTCCGTCTTCTTTGACCTTCAATCTTTCGCAGCATCAGGGTCTTCTCCAGTGAGTGCTCCCTTCTCATTTGGTGGCCAAAGTATTTGAGCTTCAGTTTCATTATCTGGCCTTCCAGGGAACAGTCAGGGTTGATTTCTTTTAGGATTGACTGATTTGATCTTGCAGTCCAAGGGACTCTCAAGAGTCTTCTCCAGCACCATAGTTCAAAAGAATCTATTCTATGACAAATATACAGGTCAAGTATAACAGAGGTGGAACAATCACCGTCAGAATCCTGCCTAACCTAATGAACAGGAAGTTGCTTAACTGTTATCAACCTGCCCAAACTACTTATTTATTCAAATATTTATATCCCACTTTTACTATGACTCAAGGCAGCTTAAAAACCATACTGAAAAGCATAATATAAATGTAAAAGTTTTCCTTGCTTGAAAGCTAGTCAAATCCGACTCTAGGGGGCGGTGCTCATCTCCATTTCCAAGCAGAACAGCCAGCATTATCCGAAGACTTCTCCGTGGTCATGTGGCTGGCATGACTAAACGGCAAGGTGCACAGAACGCTGTTACCTTCCCACCGAAGCGGTACCTATTTATCTACTTGCAATTTCTTGCTTTCGAACTGCTAGGTTGGCAGGACCTGGGGCCAGAGACGGGAGCTCACTCTGTCACACGGCACTAGGATCTCTGACTGCTGAGCTACTGATCTTCTGGTCTGCAACTCAGCATCTTAACCTCTGAGCCACCATGGCCCCAAAAAGCATAATAGGGGTGTGCAAAAAAAAATAAAAATTGATTTTTTCCAGCTCCATTATATCCTGTGGGGACTATTATAGTCATTGGACCCCATAGGCTGTAATGGAGAATCGACCTGGGTGTTTGTGTGTGTGTATTTCAATTTTTCATATCACTGTTATTTGTGTTCTGTTTAGAGATCCTCCATTGCATCCTCTAGGTCTCACCTGGCACAATTATTGAAAGTAATTAGGTCCCTAACTTCCCTGTCAGAGGGAGTCCAAAATGTTAGAAATTTGACAATCAGCTGTGAAGCTTTTGCGAGCTTTTTTATGAAGAAAGTTTTGTTGCTTTGCCAGGATCTGCCCACCAACATTGATACACTATGAGAACTGGAGGCCCTTGGCCATCTTTGGGTCAGGTATTGGACCAATTCAGCTGACTCTCCAGGGCCAATGTCTACAGGATCCTGGGTGCTGCAAAGCCCATTACTTGCCTATTAGACACTTGTCTACCACAGCTGGTGAAAGCCAGTGGTGATGGAATATGTGGCCCCCTGGCAGACATTGTTAATCTGTCCCTGAGTTTGGGGAGGGTCTTCCCATCGGGTTTAAAGGAGGCAGTGGTGAGGCTGCTCTTAAAGAAGCCATCTTTAGATCCTACTGATCCATCCAATTACTGCCCAGTATTGAATTTATCATTCCTGTGCAAGGTAGTTGAGAGAGTGGCAGCAGAACAGCTCCAGGTTTTCATGGAAGATATTTCAACCCTGAATCCATTCCAATCTGGTTTCTACCCCGGCCATGGGACAGAGATAGTGCTGGTCACCCTCGCAGACGAGCTCCCTAGACAGCTGGATTGAGGTGGGTCAGGGCTGCTGCTATTACTGGATTTGACAGCAGTATTTGACATGGTCAATTGCAATCTGTTGAGCCACCACCTCACTGATATGGGGATCTATGGGACAGCTTTGGTTTGTCTCATTTCTCCAAGGTCGGGGACAGAGGGTGGCACTACGAGAGAGGGTCTCACCATGATACTCTTTGGTGTATGGTGTTCCCCAAGGGGCAGTCCTCTCCCCAATGTTATTTAACATCTATATGTGCCCCCTTGTCTAGCTGATATGGAGTTTTGGGCTGGGTTGTCACCAGTATGCAAATGACACCCAGCTTTATCTGTTGATGGACTGACCGAATACCACCACAGATTTGGGGTGGTTTGGAGACTCTGGTTGGTTGGTTGAAACAGAGCCGGCTGAAATTAAATCCATCTAAACTAGAGGTTCTGTGGCTGGGCCAGGGAAATTTGGGGTTAAGGTACCAACTCCTGGCTCTTGATGATGTACTTTTAACACTAGTTAAAGCCTGGGTGTGATTCTGGTTGCCTCCCTTTCTGTGAAGGCCCAGGTCACAAATGTGGCCAGACTGGCGTTTTTCCATTTGTGCCAGGTCAGGCAATTGTTTTCCTTTCTGTCTCACCCTGACATAGCCATAGTGATCCATGTAATGGTCACCTCCAGACTAGACTACTGTAACTTGCTCTATACAGAGCTACCCTTGAGTCTGACCAGGAAACTGCTACTGGTCCAGAATGCGACAGCACATGTTCTCACAGGAACTTCATTCATTCAACTGGTGTTCTGCCAGCTGCACTAGCTTCAAGTTTAATACCAGATCAGGTTCAAGGTTTTGTTATTAACTTTTAAATCCCTAAATGGTCTGGGACCAGCATACCTGTGGGACCATCTCTCCCGGTATACCCCCCAAAGAGCTTTAAGCTCAGTGGATAACAACCTATGGGTGATCCCCGGTCCGAAAAGCATACGGCTGTCTTTTTTGGTCTTTAGTCTGGCCCGGTGGAATGCCGTGCTAAGTGAGATCCAGGCCCTGCAGGATTTGGTGCAGTTCCACAGGGCCTGTAAGACAGAAATATTCTGACAGACCTATGACTGAGGCAGTGCCAGTTTCCAACCTAGATTGGCTTCTCTTTTTTCCTTCCCCCCTCATTTCTGAGTTCTAATTCCTCATCCGACTAACTGTGGGATGTTTTACTCTCCCCCTGGATAGGGGGCACTAAGTTTTATGCACCATCTGATCAATTATTAGTATCATAAAAATTGCTTTAATTTAATTTTATTGATATTGTTTTATGAATGTTGTTATCCGCTCTGAGCCCCATTGCACAGGGGAGGGTGGGTTATAAACACAATACATAAATAAATTTAGTTAGTTAGTTTCTAACAACATTAACCAGAGTGTACACAAAACCTAGTTTGTTTAATTAACACACCTCTCCCCTCCTTTTCTTCCCCCTTGTCATACAGAGAATGCCAATTAGAAATTAATTCTGGTTGCCTGTGATATCTGAACACAAGTGCACAGGTTAGCCAGAGTTTAGCCCCCCTGTCTCACATACACAATATTAATTCTAAACTTTCTGTCTTAGAATCCAGATTTTTTTTGGGGGGGGCTAATTCTGGGTACTTTATGCGTATGTATTCTTATGTTATAGGTGATCTAAGTCAGTTTTCAACTGGGATTCTCTACGTAAGAAAGAAATGGTACAGGAGGAAGGAGCAAGACACACTCATGAGCCCAACAAGCCCGGTGCACAAACACTTTTATGCTTGTTAGAAGTGGCAATTGATTTCAGACAGATGTTTTGGAATACTAAAATATATGTCTTATCTTTAGGTTTATGTCCAGAGGGTTGGACAGCTTTTAAACAGAGCTGCTATAAAGTAAGCAAAGAAAGCATGCCTTGGAGTATGGCACAACAGAACTGTCAATCATTTTCAAGTGGTGCACATCTTGTGGATGTAAAAAACAAAGAAGAACATGCATTTCTGTTTGCTTATTTGCAGTCATTCAGTCAGATCATCATGTTGTGGACAGGTCTTAATGACATTAAGGTCAGTGTGTATTACTTTAGTTGGTGTTATGAAAATGATTGTGGTTAACAGATGAAGAGTAGAATTTGGATCTGAAGATGCCTGGATTCAAATTGCACTCCTGCCATGGATTTACTGTGTGGCCTTGTACAAGGTGAAGTTTTCTAATCTCAATAGATGCCTACTTCATAGGGTGCTTTGTAATTATTTATTTATATTTATAACATTTCTATACTGCCTTCTCTCTGAATTCAGGGTCCTCAAAGTGACAAACGTTAAAACATTTGAGAAATTAAAATCCATTTAAAATGCAAATATATTAAAATATTTTAAATAAATTAAAACATAATATAAACTATAAACACATAAAAACACACAATCAAGGAGGAGGGCTAATAAAAATTAGTGAGGGAATACTAAACCAAACAAAAGAAGTCTTCACCCACTGATAGAAGGCAATGACAGAGGGAGATAGATGAATATCCCTGGGGAAAGCGTTCCAAGGTTTCTGTGCCATGACCAAGAAGGCCCTTTCCTCCAGTTGCCAACAGTCTAGCCTTAGCACTGGAGTGGTCATGTAGGTTCATATAGGAGCAAGTGGTGCTTCAGTTGTGCTGTTCCCAAGCCGTATAGAGCTTTAAAGGTCAGTACTAGTACCTTGAAGTGTGCCTGAAAGCAAACTATAAAAACAACCATATTAAGAATGATCAATAATATATATACAATATACAAAATCAGTGTTTTGTTAAGGTGTGAGAATTGTAAACAAGAAATGTAAGGAGGTAGTAGATACCCTCATTTTATGCTATGTTTGTCTTTTAAAAATAAACATTGTTTATTAAAAAAAGAAAAGAATGATCAATGACAAATCAAGTTGATTAATAACAAAACTAGCCAGGGAGATAAAAACAATACAAACAACATTAAACAGTCTAAAATATGCTACCTGTCCATCATGCATGTATTTCAGCAGCATAGTCACTGAATCAAAATGTAACAGTTACATTCTTGATGTTAAAATGGGTAATTTCCCCAAAATCTTGCATTTCAAATGTCCACCAAACATTCAAGTATGTATCTGCTTCAGAGAGTGCTTTCCAACACAGTCCCTGTTCTGAGTTGTATGTATAGCTCATCTTACTTGGAATTCATTACCAAAACCTGAGGAATTTGAAAAAGTTCTCTTTCACACATAAGCACTTACAGGGGATATTTGACCAAACTGCCTGTCAGTCTTCTGCTGTTTCAAAATTCCTTATTCCCCCCCACTTCTTTGCATGTACAGTGTTTTTGTTTCTTGTTTTTCTTTTAACTGGGCATTTGTGATACAGTTCCCTTACTCTATGGATCTCAGAAGTTGAATGTGTCCTCAAAAAGAAAGGTTTTAACAGTACGATATGCTTAAATGAAATTAGCTTCTGGACAATGAACATCAGGTGGTTGTTGCTGCATATGGGATTACAGCAAAAAAATGCTGTATGAGCTTTTGACAGCAGTATAACTTTCAAGAGTTGCCCATTACTGGATTTCATTAACAGGTGAGAAACATGGTAGCAAATCTACTCTTGAGCAGGGCTATTTTTGGGCAGGAACACACAGGAATGGAGTTCTGGCTGGCTTCAGAGTTGGCCACGCCCACTACAGCCAAAACCTCTTTGTGCGTGGCTACAGAGGGAAGGCCTGGAGAGTGACCCCCCCCGGCGACTCTGAGGCGGGTGGGTCGGGGAGCCCTGGAAGGATCAGGGAGGCATTTAAATACGTCCCTATGCCTTCCCCGGCCTGTCCAAGGGCCAGCTTGCCCGGGCAAGCCAAGGGAAGGCATGGGGGTGTGGCCTAGTATGCTAATGAGCTGTGCTGTCGGGGGTCCTAATATGCTAATGAGTTTCTGCTGTTGGGTGTGGCTTATTATGCTAATGCGTCCCTGCTGGGCTTTTTCTACAAAAAAGCCCTGCTCTTGAGTATCTCAGACAATGTAGAGTAAAAACAAACACATCAAAGAGAGCCTTGAAAACAAGTCAGTAATTAGTGGGGCTCATATTATTAGTGACTTTGAACCATCAGTGATTCATGCCCTTATGGATGTACATGGCTTCCCAATTTTTCCATCTGCATGCTACTGATGTAAGTTGTGTCATGACTGTTTTCTATGATGAACAGACTTTGGGAGAGAGATAGAGATGTAGGGCAACTGAATTGTAACCTTCCAGGCTAAAGTGATAAACATTAAACAGAAGCTTACTAGTAAAATCATATTTTCTAATTTATCTTCTATGTCTCATTTTTTTTGTATCTGTATAGCCCTCTAGCTTCAAAGCATTATACCGTTTTATTAAGCCATAGGGTTGGATCCAGACTAAATTGACCATTTCAACTGATTTACCCCTTTCAACTGCAATACCTCCTCATGTAATTTCTCAGGGTTCCCTATCCCTCAGCACCAGCATCTTGTAAAGATTAGTGGGCTACGGTGGGATGGGAGAGGCAGAAAAGTGTTGGAGTAAAAGCATGCGTAAACACTAGGGGAAGCCGTATTACCCTTTCACTAGAACCAGACTGTGTATATGTGTGATGCTTCTCTGTCTATGCCAGAAGCTTTTCCATGATTCCTCCTCCTCTTTCTCTGCCTTTATTGTCTCCTCATGGTCTTGCAGGAGGCACAGGATGCTTCTGCAGATTTCTCCTGTGCAAGCAAAACAGGACATACCGATACCTGAAGAGGTGCTGTTGGATTAGCTAGCTGCTTATAACATTTAAATTCTTTTACTACAAATTTTATTGAGAATTTACTACAATTTTATTGAGAATTTTTAAAGTGAAAGACGTGGCTTCCAATTTTCTCTATGACAAATACAAGTAAGATTACAAACTTAACACCTATTCTTTAGTCTCTGTTTTCTACATTTGCTGCAGTATACTGAATTGAAGAATATTTAACCATATGTGATTCCATGCTTTACTGACTGCATCTTTGCTCCACCAACCGGTACATATGCCCAATACCTATTTTGCTATTATAAAATTTAGTCTGGACCCAACCATAATGTATAAATAACATGTCACAGTTTTTAATACAGTGAAATCATGACTGGACTTGCTCAATAGAAGGCAGAACATATGTTTGATATCAAAATTATTATAGGAACCAGCTGACAAATATGTCAACATTATTTAAGAATTGTCTTACAGGAGTTTTAATTCTTACAGATTGAAGGACAACTATTGTGGACAGATGAATCTCCGTATCTTGGAAAGTCCAGCCTCTCTTCTTTGCCAATAATACCAGAAAATGAAACGGATTGTTTTGCTTTCCAGTGGAATCCGGATGGTCCAGATTATTCCTTTTTAGGATTTTTCTGCTATATTCCATTGCCATATATGTGTGAATATGAGTGTAATTATTTTATCAAACTTTAAAGCATTTTAAAAGCTTTTTAAAACAAAAATTGTTAACACTGCCTATATAAAAATGAATTTATAGATCTTAAATTATTCTTTTCAGTACCTTCTGTTCCTGAGAACTTCACATTCGAAGTGCAGGATATCAGCACAACTACTGCAAAGCTTTTTTGGAGCAGTTTGGATGGATGGTTTAATTCAGGCTTTGAGCTTGCGATTAAATATTATTTTGACTATTCACAACAACACATCAAAACCTTTCCTGTGAATTCAACTAATGCAAACATTTTGCAATTGTGTCCTGGTCATTTCTATAGATTTTCATTGTCAGCAAGGAGCCCTGAGGGGGCAGAAGTTAGTTTACATCCAGTTGTGATGGTGGAGACAAGTAAGTTACATAAAGTACAATTGATACTAATCTAAGTGTATGATATTTTTAAAAAGTTAATTTGGGGTTTAGTGTACTCTTGAGTGAAGATGAGGGTTTGAACACTTGCACAAAATGTTGGCATTTATCCCTGATGTGAACTAGTTCATTGTGTTGCAGATACTACATCCATCCAGATTGAATGTGCTAGCATGAACATCTTGCTTTCCCAATCTTTAAATCCAAGAATAAGAGTTTCATTTCTGTCTCTTTTTTTGCCTCTGACACTTCCTACAGCCTCTTGGAATATGAGTTCCACAAAAAACTAAAAATACTCCTTATAATTAACTTATAAAAAAAGTATAAAAACTATGGAAAGTACAGAAATGGGGAAATGATATGTGTCCTGTATTATATTAATTGCTGATATTATAGAAGAGGGAGTGCCCAGATATTATAACTTAGTTTTTAGAAGATCCTTGTTTATAGTAAGACATCCTGTCAGCTGTTCTGTATCCACTTGAAGTATAGATTGAAACAAGAAGGGGGACCCACGATACGTGGGGGTGGGGGGAGGAGAAGCTCCAGGGGAGGAGAAGGAAGCAGCCGCTGGTGAGCCTTCTCCCCTGCCCCCCGTCCCCAGCACCCACAGCGAGGCACGTGCCTCTCCAAGCCTTCTCCCCCTCCCCCCCAGCGGCGGTGGGAGACCTGAGCTCGGCTTGCCAAACTCCCCCCCAACAGAGTTCCCCCCCGCCAGCCCACCACAGAGGTCCCAGAGCGTTCCCTGCACATGTGCAGGAAACGCTCTTTTACTTTTGGGGGGATTTAAATATCCCCCCTATATTTTTTGAACTTTTTAGATTTTTGTGCACACCTGGGGACTGCCCCAAGTGTGCAGGAAAATCTCCCTGCCCAACAGGTGCCCCCCATGTGCGGATTTAGATATCCACACGCAGGGGCGCCTTCGTTATTAGATATATAGATATAGAACGAGGGAGGATTGTGAGGCACTCCAAAGGGATCTGTCGAGGATGGGCGAGTGGACATCAACATGGCAAATTGGATTCAATGTGGCCAAGTGCAAAATGATGCACATTGGAGCCAAAAATCCTAAATACAAATACACATTGATGGGGTCCGAACTGGCACAGACTGACCAAGAGAGAGATCTTGGAGTCGTAGTACGTAACTCAATGAAAATGTCTAGACAGTGTCCAACTGCAATAAAAAAGGCCAACGCTATGCTGGGGATTATTAGGAAGGGAACTGAAAACTAATCAGCCAGTATCATAATGCCCCAGTATAAATCGATGGTGCGACCTCATTTGGAGTACTGTGTACAGTTCTGGTCACCACACCTCATTGGAAAAAGTGCAGAAAAGGGCAACTAGAATGTTAACAGGGTTGGAACACTTTCCCTATGAAGAAAGGTTAAAACACTTGGGGCTCTTTAGCTTGGAGAAACAACGGCTGAGGGGTTACATGATCAAGATTTATAAGATTATGCATGAGACAGAGCAGGTTGAGAAAGAAGTACTTTTCTCCTTTTCTCACAATACAAGAATTTGTGGGCACTCAATGAAATTGCTAAGCAGTCGGGTTAGAACAGATCAAAGGAAGTACTTCTTCAGCCAAAGAGTGATTAACACATCGAATTCACTGCCACAGGTGGTGGTTGCGGCTACAAGCATGGACAACTTCAAGAGGGAATTAGATAAGCATATGGAGCAGAAGTCCATCAGTGGCTATTAGCCACAAGGTATAGATAGGAACTCTCAATCTGGGGCAAGTGCTGCTCTGTATTCTTGGTGCTTGGGGGGGGGGGCAGGAGTGGGAGGGCTTCTAGTGTCCTGACCCCAGTGCTGGACCTCCTGATGGCACCTGGTATTTTTGGCCACTGTGTGACAGAGTGTTGGACTAGATGGGCTTCTCTTATGTTCTTATGTTTTATTTATTGCGTTTTCTTTAAATATTTGTCTAAAAAATGTGTATCATCTTCTGCTCTATTAACACCATTATGTTTTCCTATTCTGAAATCACTAGGGCCACTACATTTATGCAATGTAAAAGCAGTACATGTGACATCATCAGAAATAATTTTGCAGTGGGACTCTCCAGTGAGTTCATGCAGTCCATCTTTTCATCATTACCTAGTTCACATTTTGGATACCAAAACAACAAACTGGGAAAGTTTTCCAGTAGAAAAATTTAATACTGCTGCTGTAATTAGAAATGTGAAACCATACCATCAGTATCAGATATACCTTCAGAGTGTTGCTGAAAAAGGTTCTTTAAGCTGCTTCGAGGATCCTGTACTAGTAATAACAGGTAAATAATTATTTTATCAATAATGTACATGGGGTGTATGTTAAGCAAGAGTCTTTGGCACCTGACATGTTTATTATAGCTAAATTTGGGTCCAGTAGCACCTTAGAGACCAACAAGATTTTCAGGATATAGGCTTTTGAGGGTCAGAGCTCTTTTTATGAGATACGAGTTGGAATGGTGATGTCTCCTTATATCCCAGTCAGGAGGTGGAAGCGTATTGCAAAAAGGAACTCAGGATGCAAAGATACAATGTGCATTGTGATCAGCTTGATTAATGCAGAGGGGAAATGCTTGGGGGCAGAAAATTAGCATCTATAGTGAGATAAGAATCCTGTGTCCCTATTCAGCTGGGGAGGGGTCCACTGTTCTGAATTTGTGAATGAACTCAAGTTCAGCAATCTCCCTTTGAAGCTTTTCGGTTTGAGAACTTCCACTCTTAGATCAGCAATCTAAACCTTGAACTGTTTTCCCTCTGGTTTTGAGTGTTGTGGTGTGATCTAAGTGTAGCAGTCCTCAAACAGAGAAGCTTGAAGGGGAGATGAACTTGAATTCATTCACAAGTTCAGAATAATGGATGTGTATTGTCTACCCCCAAACATTTTCCATCTGCTTTAATCAAGCTGATTACAAAGCTGATTACAATGCACATTTTATCTCTGCATCCGGAGTCCCTTCCCAGTTTCTGACTAGGATATAAAGACTGAAAGATCACCATTCCAACTTGTATCTGATGAAAGGAGTTTTGATTCCCAAGAACTCATACCCTGAAAATTTTGTTGGTCTCTAAGGCGCTACTAGACTCGAATCTAGCTTTTCTATTGGAGACCAAGACGGCTACCCTCTGAAACTGTTTATTATAGTTTAAGCTGCCATGGGCTGGAACCTACTTTGTCAGACACATGTAGAAGTTTATGCTAGATTTAAAACATATTATTCTTTAACATGCCAAGAGACTCCTATTTAATTTTTTGCACAGATGAACATGAATGTGAATATAGATATATATGTTTGTGTGTGTGTGCGCGTGTGTGTAAAATATATACGGAGTACTACTGGAACATAAAGGCCTAAATAAAAAACAGGACTATCATTCACATATCTCAAGAGTAACACCAGCCTCTGGCTACAATCCAGCATGCAGTTAAGCAAGCTTTTAGCCTCATTGAAATAAGCAACAAGCCCATAGCAGGGACCTGCCAGAAGGGTGACAACACACATGAACACATGTAGCTGCCTTATACTGAGTCACACCATTGGTCCATCAAGGTTAATATTCTCTACTCAGACTGGCAGTGGCTCTCCAGGATCTTAGGTGGTGATCTTTCAGATCCTGTTCTACCTGATTCTTTTGACCAAAGATGCCAGGGATTGAACCTATGACCTCCTGCAAGCCAAGCAGAAACTTTATCACTGAGCCATGGCCCTCCTCAAAAGGGAATAGGAGAAAAGGATTATGCAGATGTACCAGAGTGTCTTTGTGTGTGTGTGTGTGGGGGGGGGGAGAGAGACATGTACTGCCTGGCCTGCCTCCACTTGTTTCTCTTTGAAGATTTGATTCAGACCAAAAAGTCTATAGTCTGGTAGTCTGCTTGGCTGGTCCTATCCCCCAAGCCTGTTCCAATACCATGCAGTAAGCCCAAGGGGACAAGGCCATGGGCAGCAGTGCAGAAGAACCCACACAGTCTGCAATTACCCCATGCCCTCCTCACTTTTTCCCCTTTTCTACCTGTGGCAAAACAGGTAACCTTGCTTACAGTAGGGTGCTGGGTTTATGCTTCTGGGCAGGCTCAGGAAAATATGGGTTTGTTTCAAAGTACAGTATTTTTTGTTTGTTATATAACAAAAATAACTTCAGGGATAAACTAATTTTTGAGATGCTAGAAGCATGTCCAAATCATTACATAACTTACACAACCATTATTACAATTCTGTTATGAATGTTTTCAAAATAATTACATCTGTAAATTTATCGTCAGTGAATATATGTTCTTTTTGTCTGAAAGCAAAGTTTTTAAAGTAGAGTTATGAACAATTACAACTGTCTGATTATATCATATTTTTTTCTTTACTTAGCTGTTAGCCCTCCTACTGATTTATTAATCCATCCAGAAAACATTGGAGAGGACCATGTTACTATCTACTGGAAACTGCCACAAGAGGGCCAGGGATCCTACATTCAGGCAACATCATCCACAGTCATGGATAAAGCCATAATGATTTTAGTGAACAACACACAGAGATTTAAGATTGAACACCTCATTCCTGGAATGACTTATGAAATAGGTGTGGCCACAGTGACAAATGGAAATAGGAGTGATCTGAAGACCATTCAGTGCACTCTTAGTAAGAGGTTTTAAAATGGATTAGTACAATTTCCCTTGTTTAATGTTTAAAAGATGGGTCATGATTAAATAGTAACTATTTACTGTCTTTAATAAATTACAGTTGACAAAGTCATGAAGCCAATAGTAATTTTATCATTAGTTTCAATGCAAAAAGTAGAAGACAGAAGACTAATCCAAAGAAAGTACAGGAGGGCTGTACCTTTATAATCTTTGAGAACTGTTACTTGGTGCCTTTCCAGCCAAGGATTAGTTGTGACTTTAGGTGGGATGATGGAAAGCAAGGATTGATTGCATTGTATTCATTTCATAACGATGACACAATCTTCCAAATGGCTTTTCCAGTTGTTATTATTTACAGAATTTGTATACTGCTTTTCTACCTCCAAGGCAGATACTTTAAAACATACATGATAAAATTACATTTAAATACCATTAAAATCGACTTCCCTCCAAAACACACATCATTAAAACAATTGAAAAACAAGAGTTAAAAACAGTCAAAATACAAAAGTTATTGAGATAGCAAGAGAGCATGGGTGGGAGGATACTGTTGCAGTCATCCAGTTTGTGGGCTTCCTAAAGGCAACTGGTCTGTTACTGTGTGGACAGAATGCTGGACTAGATGGGTCTTTTGTCTGATCCAGCATGGTTGTTCTTCTGTCCATATACAATACAGTAGTTGCAGTACTGTATCATGCTCTCTGTGGGGGCTAACCTGAAGACAAGCTGGGAACTGCAGCTGGTTCAGTATGCAGCAGCTTTATTATTCTCAGGAGCTAGAAGAAGAAGGATTCTCAGAGTGGTTTACAAACTCCTTTCCCTTCCCCTCCCCACAACAGACACCCTGTGAGGTAGGTGGGGCAGAAACTGCTCTTTTTTCAAGAACACCTGTGCCAGAATTATGGCTTGCTCAAGATCATTCAGCCAGGTGCAAGTGGAGGAGTGGGGAATCAAACCTGGTTCTCCCAGATTAGAGTCCGTACACTTAACCACTACACCAAACTGGCTAGCCAAAGGAACACATCTTGCCTATATTACACATACTTTGGCTGCCAGGTTTTTTTCTAATTTCAATTCAAGGTGCTGGTTGTGACTTCTAAAGTCCTCCATGACCTAGGAATCTCATATTTGAAGGACTGTTTCTCCCCATAAGTCCTTTTGTGCTAATTATGATCCTGTCCTCTACCTGCCACCTTCTGGCTTAAGGTTACCCATCTAGTGACTACCAGTTGGTGAATTAGGCTTCATGCAATGGTGAAGAGGGGACTTTTAATGGGATTTGAGCTGCAGGGTTTATTCCTCAGGGAAGGTATTCTTGGGGCCTTATTTTACTATAGCATTGTAAGCTTGTCACAGCTCAGGTGGGGTGTCATCTGACGTGGCCACTACTCTGGTTCCAGGCTCCCTTGAGAAGGCCCAGAGTACCCTCCCAAGATCTTTAGATCTCCCTTTTGGCCAAATAATAGGCATGAGGACCAGGCAGAGTGAAACAAGGAAAAGGTTTATTTTATAGGAGGTCAAACAACAAGGTGCAGGATAATAACAGTAAGTGGGTGAAAAGAAATCAAATGCCCTAACGCGTCTAAATATATACTGTCCCTAGCTCACTATTCCAAGTGACACTTGACTACTCACCCTTCCCTCAGGATGAGGGTTTCTTCCTGCAGCAGCCTTCCTTCTGGCTCTGCCCTCTGGAAGAAAGAACAGCCTTTGCTCTGGCACCAGCCCTTTTGTTCCCCAGCCCTCTTCTTCCCTATTGGTCAATTTTGGCTCAGGGGCTTCTGGGAGTTGTAGGGCCAGCCTCACCTACTGCTAGCCAGGCTCCCTGGGCCTAGTAGGCCTCTGGTGGCACAGCCCAGATCATGACAAAGCTGTTGAGCCACAAGGGAAAGGCAGTGTATAAACATTTTAATTAATAAATACATACTGTAAAAATGTGGGAAAATGCAGATAATTCTTTCTAAATATGTATGAAATTTTGCAGAAGGGGTGGTATCAGACTGCAAGCAGTAAAGTATTCTAACACAGTCATAGTAGTTGAGAACTGTTGCAATTATGTGAGAGGGGGTGAGATCATCAGTAGCTGTGCAGTAGGGTTGCCAGCCTCCAGGTGGGGCCTGGGGATCTCCCGCTTTTACCACTGACCCTCAGCCGACAGAGATCAGCTCCCCTGGAGAAAATGGCTGCTTTGAAGGGTGGACTCTATAGCATTGTACTATGCTGAGGCCCCTCCCCTCCCCAAACCACACACTCTCCTGGCTCCACCCCCAAAGGCTCCAGGTATTTTCCAACTCAAACTTGGCAACCCTACTGTGCAGTCAGCTCAGCAATATGCAACAAGGAAGCTACAAAAATTTGATGTAAGAAATTCTACCAAATACCAGTCCTGTGGACATGAATTAATATTGCTGAAGTGTGGTGCATATATCAACCATTATCATTTCTACTTTGTAACAATAAAATGGGTTAGATTTGGGTACAGTGAAAAATTAATTCAGGTCTTCCAAAAGTATGGCCAGAGGAACAGATGGCTTATTCATCTGGTGCATAACTTAAATCTTTAAAGCATTAGCCCCTATAGCTAGTTCCTCTGAAGCGAATGGGCTCAGAAGAAACAGAGGATATGTTCCGTTCTTTATAAACAATCGTATATTCAGCATTCTGTTCCTAGTATCTGTCAGGTTTTATCACTACACTATTAGAAAATTTGGCCCACATTTACTAGTTTAATTTGCAGTTGTTTGTGGAATGCTATTTTGATTTGATTTTCTTGTCTTGTTATCAATCTAGAACCCAAACCAATACATATTGCCATCCCTTATGAAGTTCATAGTAATTCTGTGGTTTTATTTGTTCAAATGCCTACGGCTGGAGTGTTTGATGGTATATATATAAGGAGTAAGAGAGGTCCTAATGCATCATTGGCTTTATTGATGGATGGAAAAGTAACAATGAAAAATTTGATCCCAGGCACAGAATATGATTTCTTTGTTTCTACAACTAGTGGAAATATGTTAAGTTCTGTATACCACGTACCTGCTGTAAGAACATGTAAGTCCTTCATTTCAATGTGAAATCTTTGTTTTATTTTGTTTTGTTAAGCCATCATTTCTCCAGTCCAAATATGTATTTGGTATATGGATGTATATGTGTAACCAGTTTCTGATTAAATTATATTGTTCAGCTGTGGGTGGAAATTGGCATTTGTGATTTATTATTGTTTTATGCTTCTTAAAGGTTTAATAGTAACAGAATTTTTTGTTGTTAAGTCGCACAGTCGAGTCCGACTCTTTGCGACCCCATGGACCCAGATCATGCCAAGCCTTCCTGTCTTCCGTCGTCCTCTGAAGTTGGCTCAATTTCATGTTCGTTGCATCTATGACACTGTCTAACCATCTCATCCTTTGCCGTCCCCGTCTTCTTTGACCTTCAATCTTTCCCAGCATCAGGGTCTTCTCCAGTGAGTGCTCCCTTCTCACTTGGTGGCCAAAGTATTTAAGCTTCAGTTTCATTATCTGGCCAACAGTCAGGGTTGATTTCTTTTAGGATTGACTGATTTGTTCTTCTTGCAGTCCAAGGGACTCTCAAGAGTCTTCTCCAGCACCATAGTTCAAAAGAATCTATTCTTCGGCACTTGGCCTTCCTTATAGTCCAACTCTCGAAGCCATATATGACTACTGGGAATACCATTGCTTTGACCATGCAGACTTTTGTTGGCAGGGTGATGTCTCTACTTTTTATCATGCTGTTAAGGTTCGCCATCGCTTTTCTCCCAAGGAGCAGGTGTCTTTTAATTTCATGGCTGCAGTCACAGTCTGCGGTGATCTGGGATCCCAGGAAACTGAAGTCTGTCACTACTTCCACGACTTCCCCTTCTATTTGCCAAGGAGTGACGGGGTTGGATGCCATGATCTTAGTTTTTTTTTATGTTGAGCTTCAAGCCCACTTTTGCGCTCTCCTCTTTCACTCTGAGCACGAGGCTCTTTAGGTCCTCTTCACTTTCTGCCACTAGAGTGGTATCGTCTGTATATCTGAGGTTGTTGATCTTTTCCCCAGCAATCTTAATTCCCGCTTGTGATTCATCCAGGCCAGCATTTCTCCTGATGTACTCTGCATATAAATTAAATAAGCAAGGTGACAATATACATCCTTGTCGTACTCCTTTTCCTATGCTAAACCAATCAGTTGTTCCACATGCGATTCTAACTGTCGCTTCTTGACCCTTATACAGGTTTCTCAAGAGACATGTGAGGTGGTCTGGTACTCCCATCTCTTTAAGGACCTGCCATAGTTGGTTGTGATCCACACAGTCAAAAGCTTTAGCATAGTCAATGAAGCAGAAGTAGATGTTTTTCTGGTACTCTCTTGCTTTCTCCATAATCCAGCGAATGTTGGCAATTTGATCTCTAGTTCTTCTACCTCTTTGAAACCCAGCTTGTACTTCTGGCAGTTCTCTGTCCACGTACTGTTGAAGCCTAGCTTGTAGGATCTTGAGCATGACCTTGCTAGCGTGTGATAAGAGTGCAATTGTGCGATAGTTTGAACATTCCTTGGCATTGCCCTTCTTTGGGATTGGAATGTATACTGACCTTTTCCAATCCTGTGGCCACTGTTGCGTTTTCCAAATTTGCTGGCAAATTGATATAGTCTATAATTATCATAGCTTTTTTTTTGTTTGCCATGCTGTTTATTAATCTTGCATTAGTTTGAAATGGTAAGTACTGTATTTCATTATAAGTTACTTCCCTGCAGTAAGAGTGTGTATACTGGCAGCTTTATATGGTAGAACAATTTTGTTAGGTATTGGGGAAAATTTTGGGCAACATGAGCCTGCAACAAATGAGATAGGCTCTTCATCATTCAAGATCTGACTGCTGGTGTTTAATCAAAACAATTCACAAAACAGCTGCATGGAGTTTAAGGAAGTCAATAGGAATGGTATATCATTTGGTTTGAGGCATCTCATTCCTAAGCATTGATGTTGTAAATGTTACAGGTCATCTAAATAGGGACAGGCTACAACTTGACAATGAGTATATGGCATGAAATGCAATCATGTAGAGACGAATGGTTTGTAGGGGAAATGTGTACACCAAGAATGTTTTAAGAAAGTCCCAAGGTGCAGGTCTTTATATGAAACAGTAGAAGCTGGATAAAGAAAATAAGTTAAAAAGACATTTCCATCACATTTATTTGGTAAAATCTGAAGAGCAACAGAGATGAGATTTTTTTTGCCAGGGCTATTTTTGGGCAGGAACGCACAGGAACGGAGTTCCGGCTGGCTCCTGAGCTGGCCACGCCCAGCAGGAACTCATTAGCATAACAGGCCACACCCAACAGCAGAAACTCATTAGGATTGGCTACATTAGGGGTGTGTGGCCTAACATGCAAAGGAGTTTCTGCTCCAAAAAAAGCCCTGGGTTTTGCAAACAAACAAGGTAAACAGAATAAGAAGCAAAAGGTGGGTGTGGCTGCATGACCACACTTCTGGTAACATGGGGGTGTGGCCTAATATGCTAATGAGCTGTGCTGTCAAGGTGTGGCCTAATATGCTAATGGATTTTTTGTTTGGGTGTGGCCTCTTATGCTAATGAGTTCCTGCTGGGCTTTTTCTACAAAAAAGCCCTGTTTTTTGCAATGTGTTTATCAACAGATTCTTGTGTAAAACATATAGGTTAGATTAATCCTCAGCCTAAATATCAGTCTTGTTTTTGAGAAGATTAACAGATTGTCTAGTATTTCAGCTGCCCTTGGGTTAGTCTCTGAAAAATATTGTGGCGCCTAGAAGAATACAAAGAGGGCAACTCTTTTGTAAGGTATTGCAAGAAGTGTTTTTATTTCCCTTTGGAAATAAAAAATTCTAAGGCTTTTTATTGAAAAAGTTGAAAATAGAAGATAATACATAAATGTAAGTAAACCTAGTGTTAGGGTTAATAGAAGCGATGAGAGGTCTTTGCTAGTGTATCTGGATAGTGGCAGAGATCCAAAGGGTGGAGACATTAATAGATTTAAACCTGTTCACTTGCCATGAAAAAGGCAATATATAATGTACATGCTTCACATATCTTTGTAGGTCTTGCAGTTCCACCAAATGTACGTGAAGGCAGAGTTACAGATACTTATATCGGGATTACTTGGGATCAGGCAGATGGAAACTTTCAGCACTATGAAGTGTCATGCACAAACTGTACAGGTACTTCAATGGTATGTTTAAAAACAACAATTCTATATAAAAAATAAAAAGATTTCTGTCAATTTACTTATAGCAAATTTTAAAGGCTGTTAACCCTCATAATAGTTTTATTCTTGTTTAGCTATTTTGGTGCATTTCCTTCCACTGTATATGTTTTATTTATATATTTAAAACATTTTTATACCACCTTTCTACCTGATCAGGGTCCCCAAGGGGGTTCCCCTAAAAATACTAAACATTTACACAATTAAAAACAACATTTAAAATTCTAAAGTAATTCAATAAACACACATAAACAAACAACACTAGAAAGGAGGGCCAGTGACTGTTATTGTGGGGCATGCCAAATGAAACAAAAAAAAAGTCTTCACACACTGGCAGAAGACACCAATAGAGGGAGACAGACAAATCTCCCTGGGGAGAGAGTTCCTACGTTTTGAGAAAGCCCTTTCTTGAGCTGCTACCTGTCTAGCTTCAGATGATGAGAGCAACCAAAACAGGGCCTCTGAGGATGACTGGAGTGAATGGGTAGGTTCATGTGGGGAAAGTTGGGCTTTAAGGTACGTGGGTCCCAGGCTGTACAGGGCTTTAAAGGTCTATACTAGCACCTTGAATTGCACCCAGAAGCCAAAGAAAGCCAATGTAGATAGAACAAGACTGGAGTGATTTGGTCCCCGTGACACACTCCAGTCAGTTCTCTGGCTGCCATCATTCTGTACTAGCTGCAGCTTCCAGACATTCTTCAAGGGCAGCCATACATAGAGTGCACTGCAGTAATCTAATCTAGATGTTACCAAGGCATGCATCACTGTGGCAAGAACTTTTCTTCCCAGGAAGCACCACAGTTGGCTCACCAGCCAAAGCTAGTAAAAGGCAATGCTGCCACCAGTTTATCCAACAGGAAACCCGGGTCCAGGAACACTCCCAAGCCACAAACCTGTTCTTTTAGTATAGTGCAACCCCATCAAGAAGAGAGGATAACCCATTTTCTGCATCAGGCCTTCCTCCCACCAGTAGCACTTCTGTTTCATCGGGATATAAGTTTCAGCTTGTTATGGATGCATTCAGATGAAACCCCTTATGACTTCATAGAAGGTCACAGAGAGGGGCAAAAGAAAAATGGATACCTATTTTGTGCTCTTTGAGATGTGCCTGCACATATCTTGACATGTGGTCTAGGAAAATTAGGACTCTCTGTAGGATGAAGTCACAGCAATAATTGCATCTGATGGGATGCCCATCACAGTTTGAAACCACCAGGTGATACATATGCACAGAATGAAGTTTCAGCATGTGTTGGTTGCAGAAATTGTACCTTCAAAGCTGCCATAACAGACACAATCCCTATTTGATCTGTAGGTACAAAAAGTCTCAAAAGAAATGGCAGAATTTTCTAATTTAATCCCTGGCATGCTATATAACTGTACAGTTAAAACTGAAAAAGAAGGCTACAAAGACAGTCTTCCTGTAAGGATACAAACAGAAACTGGTAAGAGATGGATTTTAAAACATTACTGTATGAAAAAAAATTGCCTAGCAAACTTGTATTTGTTTCAAATATTAGAACTGTACATTGAACATATTCCTGTGCCACAACTTTCATTATCCTTATACTCTACAGAGAACTGATTCTTAAAAAATTTGCTTCTTTGTGGTAGGCTAGATGGAACGGAGGCAAGGTAAAGCAGTCTAAGGATTTTGATTGCAACAGTAATTGCCCTCCAAGTGCTTATCTGTTGTCTTACATTAGGCGACTGATAAACTTGGTTTCATTCTGTGAAAGCTAGTGTTATAAGAATAATAGAAGTTTCTAGGGCGTCACTAGCCTCAAACTGTTCTTTCAGGAAACTTAGGACAGATTTCTTTTGCTCTAGAACTAGTCTTCCCTAAGAAGATTCCACAAGACAGAAGGAATTCTCTTTGTATATCATACGTGAGATGTCTGGCTGAAGGCTTTTGGTTCCTTTTTGGTTTCATAGGCTGTATTGCCCTTATTCTATAGTCCATTTTATTCATGTTTCATCATTTTTCTTCTCCATCATTATACTTGTGATTACACGATTTTCATGCAGTGGTGTATACATACCTTCCTCTTTCTTTTGTCATCTTCATTTGCTCTGTGTTCTGCTCGTCCAGCCCTTTAGGGCAACTAGTTAGCCACCAGCGTTCCCTCTAAGCTGAGAGAGTGTGAGCTAGCTCACAGTTTTTAAGCCTCCAGCTCACATATTTTAGCCCTAGCTCAGGAAGGAGGGCTCCAGAGCAAAGTAATTTATGCAGTAGCCAAATCGCATGCTCACAAGTTTAATGCCAGTAGCTCACAAAGTAGAATTTTTGCACACAAGACTCCACAGCTTAGAGGAAGCATTGTTAGCCACTGTGTAAAATTAGACCAGATTTACCACTTGTCTGATCCAGCAGACTCTTCTTATGTTCTTATTTTTTGTACATTAGTATTAAATGTAGTGGAGAGATTACTCTTTTCTTAATTAATTAGAGGAATTCCAGTGCTGTTTGAAGTCCCATGAACATTGTAGAGAAGCTTAAGAAAATATAGGAAAAGAAGAAGAGATTGGATTTATACCCCACCCTTCACTACCCGAAGGCGTCCCAGAGTGGCTTACAATCTCCTTTCCCTTATCCTCCCCACAACAAACACCCTATGAGGTAGGTGGGACTGAGAGAGCTCTTTTGAGAACTGCTCATGAGAGAACAGCTCTGAAAGAACTTGTAACTGACCCAAGGTCACCCCAGCAGTTGCATGTGGAGTAGTGGGGAATCAAACTTGGTTCTCCCAGATTAGAGTCCGTGCTCCTAACCACTACACCTAAACAGCTGCCTTCATTTATTTTTGTAATAAGATAATCTATATGAAGGAAACTATGTATACTATTTTGTGGGTAGATGTCTGAAGGCTAGATTATGGACTAGTCAGCTGATGCAGTAGTGGCTGCTAATTCCACATGCAATGAGAAGGATGTTTGGAACATGCTACATAAATAATGATATAGAGGCTGTTTTGATGTGAAGATTATTTCAGTGCAATGGCATGCAAGACAGAAAGGTTCCCAAAGGGTATGTAGTGCACTCATATCTGATAACTCTCACTACAACATATAATTATTAAAGAGCATGCTGTTATGCAACTGTTAAAGCAACAGAGCCTATTTCCACTAATTGTGTATTGTTCAATTTTGATACTTTTTATTAGTATTCAGTTTCTCTGGTAACATAACTGTAAATTTAGAACAGACCTTAATTGTTAATTTTAAATACTGTATTCTTTGTTGGCAGTGCCAAGCTCAGTTAAATATATGAATGTTACAAAAGGCTCTATGTCAATAACTGTCAACTGGCCACCAGCATTAGGTATATTTGATGGGTACATCATTTCACTGGTTACCAAAAACTTCAACAAAAAAGAAAGATTATCTTCTGATATAAGGTACTGTATGAAAATTCTGCATTACTCCTGAAGTACAGCTGCATATCAGAGAGTTGCTTTGAGCTTCCTATAACTGCCTAGCCCTTTTTGTTGCATAGATATCCCATATCTATATGTTTTATAAAAATTTAAAAATCTAGAGATGCTTTGCTGTAATGTTGCAAATTTGAAAAAAAAAACCTTATTCTAATAAGGAAATTATTCAAGAATTATAGTTGAAAAGCTAAACAGGTGTAGAAATAGACCCTAATGAAAAATCTTTCTGCCAGCTATTCTTTTGGAGAACTTTATCTGCAGTTTCAGTGATTTCAGTTATGACAAAATCTGTATGCTATTATATTCCTATGGTATATTGTTGTAAAGTACTGTATATACTTTCCTCATAGTATATATATTGTACTTAGTTTGGCAAGTACATATATTATTTGTTTACCAAGAAATGTTTGGACCCTGCTACAGAGAGAGGCAGGGAGGGGAAGAGGGAGAGAGGCGGAAAGAGAGGGAGAGAGGGAGACGGAGAGGGAGGGAGGGAGGGGGGGGGGGGAGAGAGAGAGAATGAGAATGTATTCAGTTTTGCTAATGGAAGATGCTCACAAAACATAATTTTCCTAGTTTCTTGCTTTCCATAGAAGTCCTCTACATACCCTGAAAATCCTCTGGTGAAGATTAGGAGACTTTTTGTGGATAAAGTGCCATGTATCACTGGGGTGAGTTAGTGCACTGGTGCACCGGTCTGCACTGAGATGGAACTGGGCAAAATGGCCTACTCTAACTGTTGTTTGAGTACAGTCGTATTTATGCTAGAGCAAAAGAGGGCGATTGTTCTCAATTCTTTCTCCTCATGCAGCCCCATGATGTATGGCACTGATTATCACCAGTGTTAGTTACGTCCAGTCTTGATGCACTCTACATGGGGTTGTCATTAAAGACTGTATAGAAATTTCAGCTGGTCCAAAACACAACAACCAGATTAACGGCCAAAAGTAACTGTTGGGAAGGCAATTTTCTACAATTTGTTTTCAGGTGCCTTTAAATTACTGGTGGTAGAGAGCCCGGGAGACTGTATACCTCTAAATGTAGGTTGATAGGGGGTCAGCAGTAGGGGAAAGCTTGGGCCTCTGAGTTCCTACTGTGAGATTTCCAAAGTATCTGGTTGGCCACTGTGGCAAGCAGTGACTTCTGTGGATTTAGAAGGGTGTAACTGTTTAGAATTGCCCTGCAAATGGACCATTGGTTTCATATGACAGTGTTCTTTTTGTGGGACCGGGATATCTGAAGGGCCAGTTACTCCTATATGATTAAGATCTTCTCCTCAGAACCTTCTAGATATGACCTACTCTTCAAAATTGGCAGGTGAAGACTTTTTCTATGGTAGCAATCTGGTTGAATTGAGAATAAGCAACAAATAGGATAATATTGATTAATTTTTATAGCTCTCCATATAGCCTTAACATATTTGTTTATCTCTTCAAGAAGTTGTTTTTTCCCCCCTTCTTATACAGAACATTCAAATTTGATGGTCTTTCATCTGGAACAGAGTACTTTATTCAAATTGTTACTAGCAATAGATTAAAAAGAAGCTACCCTGTTTCCCTGAGAATAAACACTTGTAAGTTTATGCTTTATATATGGGTTTTTAAGCACTGCTATTTTGGGGGGGACGACTGACAGAGTAATCTAATGCAGTGTAGGAATGCAAGCACTGCACCTACATAGACCTGCTAATTTACTGTGGCCTATTATGCATGGGTGTTTTCCCTAGCTTTCACTGTGCATGTCCATTGGATTTTCTTTGTCATTCTGTATTGATTTTCCTCCCTTCAGTGCTCAGTTCACTTTCTGGTCACTGTTTCCCCGAGTTTTCTGAAAATGCTTTTGTGCTGATTTCCAGGGAGGGAAAGTGGTAGTGCCTCCACACCTGGAATCCGTGGCTCAGATTCTGGAATTTGACTCATGCTAGCAGTGGTTCCTGCTGTGCTGACGCAAGGAATGAGGAGGCATGGTGTTTAGCGTTGGATCTGTAGTATGGATGTGGAAGATTAATGCTGACTGGCTAAGGAAAGATGATTATGAGAGAGGTTGATTGAATGGGTGTGATTGCCAGGTTAAAATGGAAGAGATAGGTTAATATAGCTGAAATTTTTTAGTAACTGCTTCCAGGACGGTGGGTTTCCTTGTAATTGTATTGTATTCTTATGAATTTTCTGGCAGCTTAGTTAGTTATATATTGTACCTTAGAGAACTATTCTGGGAATGGTTAATATAGCTGAATTTTTTTAGTAACTGCTTTCAGATTCTTGGTCTTACACCACTTGCGGACCAAGGGGTGGGGGGTGAGGGAGTGACGATGTATATTCGGGAGGCTTACTCCTTGAGGGCACTCCCCCCGATGGAGATCACGGGCATGGAGTGTGTTGGCCTCATGCTGGGGACCGTGGAGAGTTTGGTGATCTGGCTAGTGTACCGACCGCCTAACGCACCGGCCAGTAACCTGCTGTCCATGTTGGAGGTTGTATCAGTCTGGGTGCTGGAGCACCCTAGGCTTTTGGTCTTGGGTGACTTCAATGTTCATGCCAAGATCACCCCCAAAGAACTGACTGTTACCATCATGAGATTTATTCTGGGACCATCATGTTTTCATAGAGCACTTTACTTTTATTTGTGTTATCTAATGGTTTTATTGCTTTTATTATGTTTTACGTGGGCTCTGACCCTTGTAAGCTGCCCTGAGCCCGCTCGCGGGGAGGGCGTGGTAAAAATGTAATAAATAAATAAATAAATAAATAGTTTCACTTCCATGCTGAAGGTAAATTAAAAAGTGCACAGATTTCCTCAGATTTCCCCCTGCCCTTTTGCTGCCCTTGGAAGGTCACTCTCCACCCACATTGATCCCATATTCCCATTCTGCACCTTCCACCATCCTCCCCCCTTCATTGGTGTACGAACTCCATTTCCCCCTCATTTAATTTTGTTTTTTTTTACAAGTAGCATGAGTCTAGCGATAGGAGACTATTTGTAGTCTTGGATTGCTGAATAAAAAAACCAAAATGGTGGGGGAAAGTTTAAAAGGAGCTCCACAAGTTTTAGCTCCCTGCTGGTATTGACTTGAAAGGGGGATTGGAGAGGAGACAAATGGCAGTGCCCCCAGTGCAAAAAAAAAAAAAAGGGAGGGGATTTCAGTGCTGCATGCAAACAAAATAAAGGGGGGAATTGTCAGCACAGAATGAAATTGACATGAGATGTAAAGAAAGAGAGAGACTGGGATGGGAAGCCTTACGCTTTGAAAACATTTTTCCCTTTAATACTTTAGTGAACAATTTTTTTTGGGGGGGGACCATTTTGAAAGGCTCTGGAATCCTTACATTAAAATGGTGGCTGAGCCACATGGACCTTCTGCGAACTGCAGAACTTAAGAATCGCTTGGGATTGATCCATTTGGTGGAAGAGTGCAATCTGCACAAGACAGGCTTTAAAGAACTGCCAAGATCACGACCAGTATGCAAGATCAAATTATAGAATCATAAAGAGAAAATGACACAAATTTGCAAGGAAGGGCATGAAATTACTATGCAGCTGTGCTAGGGCATCGGCAAAAATACACCCCAATTTTTTTCAATTTAGTGGCACAGGACTAAAAAAGCTCTCCAGAGCTTCTGCCAGAGGACTCCTCCCCCATACAAATTGCAGCCCTGTGCAAAGCATGGTGGAGTTGCAGCTGACTTTGCACAGGCATGCACATGCACACACACAAACACACACACACACACACATGTTGCCAATGATCACAGCTTGCAATGTCAATGTCAGTGGGTTCTACCATGCATTCTTTACACTCAACATGTTCCCCTATATTATGAGATTGTGTGACTCTTTTCCATTTTTCACAGTGGCTGATAAGACGGCAGAGAATTCCCTAGTGCAGAGGTCTACAGTATGGAAAACGGGCTTCACAGATGCTTGTCAGTTAAAAAAAAAAAGTCTTTTCAATTTCAGTGTCAGGTTTTCCCCCTTTGCCTGCATGCCTTTCATTCAACAAACTAATGCTAAAATGTATGTGCAAAACCTGAACCACGAGGATTTAAATGGAAGGAGCTTGCTGGATGCTACTGTAATACGGCAATTGTGTAATTTTTTTAAAAAAATTGCCCCCCCCCTACATGTCACTAAGTGACTTCCACCCCAATTTAGAAAACTGTAATTTTTGAATTGTAGCTGCAGAATAAATACACCAGAGGAAAAAGAATGGTGAATAAGGCAGGCATAGAATATAAAGTCCAGATTAAAGGTTTACTGCTCTGAAAATCTGCGGTACGATGTGCATGTGTAATGGGCCTTTGTCCCCCTGTTCTACCTGCACAAATAGGTACAGGAGGGATTCTACAGGATTCTGTTGATTGAGAAACCTTCATTTCCAGGGTTTGCTTCACAATGGACTGAATCATGCCCTGAGTCTTGTGAATATAAATATAAATTAACATTTACCAGTTTACACAATTTTATCCAATATGTGTGAGCAATTAAGCTTATAAGGCTCATGAGATAGGAACCTTGGAGAAACAGAAGTTCCATGAAAAGGGATGTAATTGATTGGATAACTCAGCATAAAAGTAAAAGGAAGGGCACCAGAGGAGCAGTATTTCCTGGCACAGCCATGACACATACCAGAAGTAGAATGGGAAAAAGTCAAGGAGCAATGACATGTAATCTAGCAGTTGTCCACACCTTCTTACAAAGAGCTGTCTTACACTTATAGAAATGTGTCTAGTGATCTGTTATGTCGTTCTAAAATTTTAGTTGAGGCAATTATTTTTATTTTATCAATCTCCTTTGAATTACACAAGACGAAAGACAGAAATAAATAAGGATTCAGGTGGGTAGCCATGTTGATCTGAAGCAACAGAACAAAGTTTTAGTCCAGTGGCACCTTTAAGACCAACAAAGTTTGTTTCTGGGTATAAGCTTTTGTGTGCATGGACACTTCTTCAGATACATTGAAATAGACTTTGCCAACCATTATATATAGGTGGGGGGGGGGTTAGTTGCCAGAAAGGGGTAATTGGAGTTAAGATGCATAAGTAACTGAGTGATAGGTATAGCTAATATTGGATTAAAGCTGTTGGTATGTTTTATAATGTTTTCTGTTAATAAGCCATGTGTATATTTTACACTAAAAATATTTATGTACCACTTTTATACCCTGCCTTTCTCCCTAATGTGGACCCAAAGTAACCTACATCAATCGCTTCTCTATTTTATCCTCACAACAACAGTGTGAGGTAGGTTAGGCTGAGAGTATGTGACTGGACCAAAGTCACCCAAGTAGGCTTCCATGGCATTTGATCCTGGGTATCCCAGATCCTATTCCAGCACTTTAACCACCTTACCAAACTGGCTGTCTCTTAAAAATATATATATATATAAAAATTTAATTTAAAAGAATGGATGCGTTGTATCATATTCTTTCAAAGTAAAAGGGAAAAAAACCTTTCTAAATTCAGAGCATGTATGACATGTATCTGACAATGTGATTTGGGTTACAAAACTTTGTTGTTGTTCAGTCGCACAGTCGAGTCCGACTCTTCATGACCCCATGGACCACATCATGCCAGGCCCTCCTGTCTCCCGTCATGCTCTGGACTTTGCTTAATTTCATGTTTGTTGCATGGGTAACACTGTCTAACCATCTCATCCTTTGCCGTCCTCTTTTTCTTTAACCTTCAATCTTTCCCAGCATCAGGGTCTTCTCCAGTGAGTGCTCCCTTCTCATGTGTTGGCCAAAGTATTTGAGCTTCAGCTTCAGTATCTGGCCTTCCAGGGAACAGTCAGGGTTGATTTCTTTTAGGGCTGATTCGATCTACTTGCAGTCCAAGGGACTCTCAAGAGTCTTCTCCAGCACCATAGTTCAAAAGAATCTATTCTTCGGCACTCAGCCTTCCTTATAGTCCAACTCTCACAGCTATACATTACTACTGGGAATACCATTGCTTTGACCATACGGACTTTTGTTGGCAGGGTGATGTCTCTATTTTTTTTATGCTGTCTAAGTTTGCCATCGCTTTAGGCCACAATAAATTAATTTTTCTTTAAGATGTGCTTAAATTAGTCTTTTAAAATAAAATATAAATCCTATTTTATTGTTCTCCAAATGTATATTCTTTCAGCTTGAACTTTTTAAAAACTATGGCGTTAAATGTAAATATGTTTGCTTTCAGATCCAGATCCCCCATCAGATTTACAAGCCTTTGGAGTAGAAGAAAGCACAGTTTATTTGATGTGGAAATTGCCAGGTGGAGGCTTTGATAATTTTGAGGTAAGAAAATATAACATCAGTAATTGTTAGTGATTTCACTTATTCTAGATGTCAGTAACATAAGTTAAAAATCATAGAGGGAAATCCGAATAAAAGAAAGAAACAAAAACAGCATAAAGGTAGTTACTAGGGATGGGCACAGACCCAAACCCGAGCCAAAGTCTGGGTCTGATTTTGCCCAGTTTTAGGTTTGCGAGCTGAGGTTTGGGGAAGGCACTTTTCCCCAAACACTTACTGAGCTTTGGCTCGACGTGTGCACACCACTTCCGGATGGCATTGGGCTATGCCCCCGTCATGCCCACATCATCTGGAACTGATGCAAGTGTGTCACAATATGCTTGCATCACTTTTGGGTAACATTGGTGTGCTGGAGGTGGGGCCTGACAACACCCAGAAGTGACATGAGCACATCAGGGGGCCGACATGTTTGCGTCACCTCTGGATGATGTGGGCATACCAGGGGCAGGGCCCTGAAGCCACTTGAACCGGCTCAGTTTGGGCAGCTTTTTGCTTTGGGGTTTGGTTCAGGACCAACTGGTTTGTGAGCCCTGGATTGAACTGGGCTTTCCTGGTCTGTGCCCATCCCTAGTAGTTACTCCGCTCCATGAAACTGATGTCATTCATTTGCTCTGTATTCCCCTGAACAATGAGGATGCTGCTGGGATGGGGCATATCAAGTGGCACCTCGTATGAATGCACTATTTTTATATTTGGAAAGCATGTCACCAAACAGATTATAACAGTATTTTCACCTGACAGTTTTCCAGTCTAATTAGGTGTGGTGAGTGGGAAGTCTGAGCCTGCATTCTCGGTCACCTGACAGGTGATCAATGTGACCAGCTGACAGTGTCAGGGAGAATACTGTGTAAGAACAACATGGGATGCACTTGTTGATATCCTAGTATCTATGCTCAGATACTGCAGATAGAAACACATATGGGAAAAATTTTCCTGAGCATCTCAATTGTGCCGGACTTGCAATAAAGGATTGTGAATATTGTCAATTTCCAAATATTTTTTAAAAATAGGGATGCACTTCCAACTCCTGATTTTAGAACATTGTTGAATGGCATGAATACTGGTGGTCCCTTAAGAAAATTACTTAAATTAGTAGCTTTATTAAGCCCTGCTTTTTTTGCTGATTAAGAAAAAATGTCCATCATAAATTAATTTTGTCATGTTTCCTGGAACATTTTATGCAAGTTAAATTTATTTTTTAAAACTGATTATATGCAGATATCTCTCTTGAAATTGTTTGTATTTGGTAAAGAAACTGTTTAAATATTATGGAAAAAATATCATCTAATATTAATCCTAATGACATAGTGTTATTGTCTGATGTACTGTGGAGCAGGTAGGCATGCTAGGCTGTTTTCCTTCTGAATAAATAAGATTATACATAAAATATTAATGAGGAAGTCTTTGGCAGAGTGGTTGCTTAGCAAAGTGCACCTGTGCAAATGGGATTATTTTACCAATCATTTAAAATTAATCATCACAGCTCATCTAATTTCCATTGCATGCATATGTGAAGACAATACTAAAATTCCTTTAAAATTGTTTTTAATAACCCTTTTCAATATTCAGTGCATCTTTTTGTTTAATATTTTGCAATTAGCTATCATTTGTAGGAATAATTATTCTACCCCAATGAAAGGTCGGACACTCTGTTTGTGTAGACAGGACCATTCTCTCCAGAAATCTTTTAGCTGTAAGAGAGTGATTTTACTTGGTTTGGTGTTCTTATCAGTTTTGGTTGCTCATCATTGGACTGAGGTAGCCAACCTGAAGATTTTGGGCTAGATCCAGCTACCTGTTCAGTCAATGAACAAGGAATGGCTACCCAAAAAAAAAAAAAAAAAAAGGAATCTGCATGGATAAAAGTCATGTGGGATGGGGGTTGTGGTATTGAAGTACATTCAAGTGAATAAGATGGATGGATCCAATCCATGACATTTCCCAGCTTCTTGTCCAGTATTGCAATTGTTTTTCTCTAGGCCAGATTACTCAAATATCATCCAAACAAACATATGTGAGGAAAATCAGTTTGAGTTCCCCAAACATAGTATTGATTTAAAAAATAGATGCAGTATCACTGTGGCTCAGTGGCAGAGCCTCTGCTTTGCATGCAGAAGGTCTCAGGTTCAGTCCCCAGCATCTCTAGTTAAGAAGACCAGGCAGTAGGTGATGTGGAAGAGCTCTACCTGATAACCTGGAGATCCACTGCCACTGCATATTTTTCAATAAAAATGTGTGTGTTCATGTCTTGTGGCTCTCAAACATCTGATGTTTATTCTATGTGGCTCTTACATTAAGCAAGTTTGGCCACCCCAGTCCTAGATACTGTTACACAAACTTTTGTTGATGTTTTTAGAATTGACAATGTAGAAGATTTTTTTTTCCATTCTGCATAATAGTGCTTTGGCTGTGTTTGAATGAGTCTTCTTACTTATGTTATCACTCTATCCTTTTTACCATTTTCTCCTTACTGCCTTTATTATAGACTAGCAGTAAAGCCCGTTGTGAAAGCAATACAACGGGATCTAGAAAGAGGCTCTGGGGCAGTGCTCTGGCTTTGGGCAAACAGTGTCAATTTGCTGTGGTGACCTCAGCAGGGTATAATGACAGAGTCCACTGTTTTCTCCAGAGGAAATGATCTCTGCTACCTGAAGAGCAGTTGTAATTGTGAGTAATCTGTAGCCCTCACCTGGAGATTGGCAACAATTGTTACCCAGGACAAAATGGCTGGTTTGGAGGGTGGAGTCTATGGCATTCTACCTGTCTGAGGTCCCACCCCTCTGCAAACCCCACCCTCTCCAGGCTCCACCCCTCAAATCCCCAGGAATTTGTCAGCATGTAGTTGGCAACCCCATCTCCTTCCCAGCTAGCCACCAACCTACCATTATCTGCCCCTTTGACTTCAGCTGACTTCTGCCCTCCCTTCTGCAGAACAGTTGTAATACTGAGTGCTCTCCAGCCCTCACCTGGAGATTGGCAACAATGGTTCCCTATGTGGGACTGACTGGTTTGGAGGGTGGAGTCTATGGCAGTGTACCTGTCTGAGGTCCCACCCCTCCTCAAACCTCACCCTCTTCAGGCTCCATCCCTCAAGTCTCCAGGAATTTCCCATCTGGAGTTGGCAACCCTATCAGGACTGGCCCCAATGTGTTTTCTCCCAAAGGCCAAAGTAGGTGACAGGACCAAGCTTAGTTGCCTACCAACAGGCACTGAGGGGAATGTAGGGTTGCCAGCTCTAAGGAGGGAAATACCTGGAGGTTTGGGGGGTGGATTCTGTAGAGGGCCGGGCGACGGAGGCATCGGCCTTCTGTCGCCCGCCTTGCCCCCCCAATCTCGGCCCGGGCGACCGCGGCTCCCGCCAGCG